TTCCCCCACCTGGGGCGAACATCGTCAGTGGCATGTGGATTTTCAGGGTGAAGCGGCCGCCGGGTTCTCCGCCTGTCTTCAAGGCGCGTTACGTGGCTCGAGACTTCAGTCACCGGCAGGGAGTTGACTACTTTCAGACCTTCTCTCCCACCCCGAAGATGACCACTCTTCGGGTGCTTCTGCACATAGCCGCTCAGCGCGACTACGAGCTTCACTCTCATAACTTCAGCACTGCTCTCCCACAGGGTAGCCTTCACGAGGAGATCTGGCTGCGCCGCCCACGTAGCTTCATTGAGTCATTTCCTGCAGGTACCCAGTGGAGCCTCCGACGGCCAGTCTACGGTCTCCGCCAGGCGCCCCGTGAGTGGCACGACACACTGAGGACTACACTTGCGGCTCTTGGGTGTGCTCCTTCTACTGCCGGCCCGTTGTTGTTTCTACGCACCGACACCTCTTTGCCGCCGTTCTACATCGTCGTGTACGTCGACAACTTGGTCTTTGCTACTGCTGACACTGCTGGACTCGCCCACGTGAAGCCCGAGCTGCAGAAGAGACACACGTGCTCAGACCTGGGTGAACTGCGCAGCTACCTTGGCTTGCAGATCACCCGGGACAGAGTACAGCGCACCATTACCCTGACTCAGTCACACATGGTGCAGCAGGTCCTTCTGCGCTTCGACTTCACGTACTCCTCGCCTCAGGCTACTCCTCTGTCTACTCGTCACTCGCTCTCAGCTCTGCCTTCGGATGAGTCCGCAGAGCCGAGTGGCCCGTACCCAGAGCTTGTTGGCTGCCTCATGTACCTGATGACCTGCACACGACCTGACCTTGCATACCCTCTTAGCATCTTGGCACGCTATGTTGCTCCTGGGAGACACCGACCAGAGCACATGGCTGCAGCGAAGAGGGTGTTGCGCTACTTGTGCAGTACGTCGGGCATGGGGCTATTGCTTGGAGGGCGACGTCGAGTGGTCCTCACAGGTCACGCAGAGGCTTCTTGGGCTGACGACCAGGCTACGCAGCGGTCATCACAGGGTTACACCTTCAGCCTTGGCTCCGGCTCTGTTTCGTGGCGGTCTACCCGCTCGTCTTCTGTTCTCGGCTCCAGCTGTGGGGCTGAGATCTACGCGGGGGCCATGGCTGCACAGGAGCTTTGCTGGCTCACCTACTTGCTGATTGACCTAGGAGAGCCACCTCGTTCTCCTCCAGTTCTGTACGTAGACAACAAGGCCATGCTGGCCTTGTGTCGGGAGCACATACTGGAGCACAGAACGAAGCACATTGCTCTTCGCTGCTTCCTTGCTCGTGAGCTGCAGCAGCGTGGTCAGCTGCGCCTTGCTTACGTGGCCTCTGAGGCCAACACTGCTGATATCTTTACCAAGGCACTTCCGCCTTGTGATCATCAGCGCTTCTGTACGATGCTAGGTCTTGTGCCTACTTGGCCTCACTTGCTCACTTCTTGACCTTGCTTGTACTTTGATCTTTCTATACCTGCACTTGCTTGTTTACCTTTATATATGATCTTGCATGTGAACTGGCCTTTTGGCCTTGCTCTTGTGCTTGGATTGTGTGGTGAGGTTGTGATCCACCCTGAGCTTGCTTTGCTTTGCTTGACTGGTCTTGTGACCTCTTGTTCTCCCCCACTTTGCCTATGGGGGTGTGTCAAACTTATATCATATAGCTTGTCTAGGCTATAGTGGGGTAGACACTATGGGGAACAGTTTCCTAGGGTTTCCTACTTGTACCCAACCTTGTGCTAGTTCATTCATTCCTCATTCTTCACATACGTGTGCATTTGATGTTTCTTTCGATACACAAAAAGAGGACGATCGTCCGTTTGTCCTATCTCGAGTGGCATAGTTTTGGCAGTATGTACACTTTTTTCATACATGCCGAGAGAACACAGAGACGTGGCGATTGTGCACGTGCCTTTTTCGGACCCGTTGTCTCATTGTTTCGAAACAGACACCAGCACGAAATTCGAAGTCAATTCTTCTCAGCTAGTGGCGCTTCAGGGCACTTTTCGTGAGCGGGAACTGTACTTGCTCGCTTGCTATCTTTCGTTTGGCTCTTGCACCAACGTGTCGGATGCACACGGGCGAAATTCATTTGGCGTGGTAAGGGTGGGTCCGAAGTGAAGTCGTCATCCGTTGACATCCGATGTCCTTAAATCTTGACGGTTGGAACTCTCGATCCAAGGGTTAACATTTACCGACATCCATTCGACGCTTCACTTCGGACACGCTTCACTGGAACTCTTGCTGTCACCAGGTCATATGCGAAGATGGACTTCATGGATCATGAAAACACGCTGTGGCGGTCTTACAACGCTGCTGCACCCGGGGATTTCGAATGCCTTGAAGGTGCAATCAAGGGATTCCAACGAAAACAAGAGCATCCTCCGCGTGCCAAGGTTGTTTGGGAGACTATTATTGAGGTGCACAAGGGTGGGGCGATTCCTCCGGATGACGATTTCACGTGGTACAGCAAATATCCGTCATACGCGTGCGCCACTCCCAGCTTTTACGGGGCTCCATGGTTCTCAGACGTGTCCGTTGACGGCGTCGACGATGACGGTGAGAAGATGGTGCTACTCATGATATTTGCGCTGCATCGTATAGTCACTATGACGAGGAGAAACCCGACCATTAAAATACGGGTCTCATCGGAACAACACTATGCTGAACAAGTGGCTTTTGTCCGCTACTACAGGAGGTATCCCCCCAGTGATACAACCGCGTTGACCCTCATGCAATGGTGGGAAGGTGGAAGGGGATATGGAATTGTTCATTTGGAAAGCTTGCTGAGGGTTCTACACGTGGTACCTTATGTTCCGAAGACCCCATCAACCATCCAGAAATTCATATGGAATGGGTGAAACCATTGTATATACTTATTAATAGTTTGTGTGGCATCATTGTTAGGTGCAATAGCGCATCTTCCCTGTTTTGCTTCTATTGCATCACGCTGTTCCCTAGTACGACCAATTGCCTAGTCATAGGAACTTGTTTGACCTCATTCGCCCAACTACGCAGCTCGTGGCGCTCGTTAGTGCGTTTGCTAGCACGAATCTGCGCAAGGATAGGCCATTACGCAACATGACACCGTTTCAACGTTTGGTTGTTTTTTTTACCTCCGTTTCTTCACACTATTCCCTAGTACGACCAATTGCCTAGTCATAGGATCTTGTTTGACCTCATTCGCCCAACTACGCAGCTCGTGGCGCTCGTTTGTGCGTTTGCTAGCACGAATCTGCGCAAGGATAGGCCATTACGCAACATGATACCGTTTCAACGTTTCGTTAATTTTCTTACCTCCTTTTCTTTGCACTATTCCCTAGTACGACCAATTGCCTAGTCATAGGAACTTGTTTGACCCCATTCGCCCAACTACGCAGCTCGTGGCGCTCGTTTGTGCGTTTGCTGGCACGAATCTGCGCAAGGATAGGCCAGTGCGCAACACGACACCGTTTCAACGTTTGCTGTTTTTATTACCTCCGTTTCTTCGCACTATTCCCTATTACGACCAATTAGCTAGCCATCAGAACTGGTTTGACCTCGTTCGCCCAACTACGCAGCTCGTGTCGCTCGTTTGTGCGTTTGCTGGCACGAATCTGCGCAAGGATAGGCCAGTACGCAACACGACACCGTTTCAACATTTGGTTTTTTTTATTACCTCGTTTCTTCACACTATTCCCTATTACGACCAATTAGCTAGCCATCAGAACTGGTTTGACCTCGTTCGCCCGACTACGCAGCTCGTGACGCTCGTTTGTGCGTTTACTGGCACGAATCTGCGCAAGGATAGGCCAGTACGCAACATGACACCGTTTCAACGTTTGGTTGTTCTTTTTACGTCTGTTTGTTCACACCATCCCCTAATATGACCAAAAACCTAGCCATAGGAACTCGTTTGACCTCGTTCTCGCAACTACGTAGCTCGTGACACTCTTTTGTGTGTTGCTGGCACGAATCTGTGCAAGGATAGTCCAGTACGCAACATGAGACCGTTTCAACGTTTGGTTGTTTTTTATACCTCCGTTTGTTCACACCATTCTTTAGTACGACTAAAAACCTAGCCATAGGAACTCGTTTGACCTCGTTCGCCCAACTACGTAGCTCGTGACGCTCTTTTGTGTGTTGCTGGCACGAATCTGTGCAAGGATAGGCATGCGCGCAACTTGACACCGTTTCAACATCTGGATGGCCCTTTTTAGCTATGTTTCATCGCACATAAAGTTAATCCATCCAAAACTTTTCTCAAACCAACTCGATCGAGGTCAATCGCCCAATGAATTAACACACGACGCATGTTAGAGCGTTGGCAAGGGCGTACCTGTACAAGGACATGCCTGGTTCGAACCAGTCACCATTACAACACATGGTATCGAGCAGGTTCTTCACCTGATGGCTCCACTCCCCAGTACAATGAACTAGATGTCAGAACATTATAGCTTATGCTTTTGTGTAGGCAGTAGTGGGGTAGCCCATATGGGGTACAACCCAATTAGGGTTAGTACTTGTACCCAACTGTTTCATAGTTCATTCATTCTCGTTTCAATTATCACATGGTATCGAGGAGGTTCCCTCGTGGGAACTGTTCCTAGGGCCCACCAATTCGACTTTGTTTTTTTCTGCCCGGAGCGCGCTCAGCCCTAGCCCGAGTCGCGCTCCCCCTTTTCTCGCCCCGTCGCCCCGCCCTAGCGGCCCCGTCGCCTGCCTTGCGGCCCTCGCGCCGCCCTTCCTGGCCCCGACCCGCCGCCTTGCGGCCTCGTCGCCTACCCCGCGGCCATCGCGCCGCCCTTTCCCGGCCCCGATCCACCGCCCTCCGGCCTCGTCGCCTACCCAGCGGCCCTCGCGCCGCCCTGCGGCCCTGACGCCGCCCTTACCGGCCCCGGCGCCTACCTGCAGCCCCGACGCCTACCTGTGCGGCCGCGGCGCCTACCTGCTGGCCCCGCCACCTACCTGCGGCCCCGCCACCTACCTGTGCGGCCCCGGCGCCTACCTGCGGCCCCGCCACCTACCTTTGCGGCCCCGCCGCCTCCTCTCAGCGGCCCCGCCGCCTCCTCCCAGCGGCCCCGGACGCTGCCCTCTCAGCGGCCCCGCCGGACCGCCCAGCAGCCGAGCCACCCACCAGCCGAGGCGCCCAGCCGCCGAGCCGCCCAGCAGCCGAGCCGCCCAGTAGCCGAGCAGCCAAGCCGCCGAGCCGCCCAGCAGCCAAGCCGCCGAGCCGCCCAGCAGCCGAGCCGCCGAGCCGCCCAGTTGCCGAGCCGTCGAGTCGCCCTGCAGCCGAGCCGCCCTCTTCGGTAAGAGCAGCGCCTCTTTCACAGCACTGCCCTCACCCTACTGTCTGCGCTGCTAGTCTACTGCTGTCATGGCTACCCCTAGTGTCCTCGCTTTTAACGCTGAGGGTCGGGCCATTGACTTTGACGTCTGGATAGATGACCTGCAGCTGTTTTTATAGTGCGATAGGGCAGACGGTCTCTCTCTCTTTGACCTCACCTCTGGTGCCTCTCTTGCTCCTGCTGCTGATGCTGTCGCCACTGTTCGCTCACAGTGGGCCATGCGCGATGCTGCTGCACATCTTGCTGTGCGTCGCCACCTGCCTACCTCTGAGCGTGCGCACCTTAGCCAGTACAAGAGTGCTCAGACCTTGTACGCCGCTGTAGTTGCATGCTACTCCTCCCCTGCCACTGCTGCACTGAGACACCTCATGCTACCGTACCTCTTTCCTGACCTTGGTGCCTTTCCCACAATTGCTGACCTCATTACGCACCTCCGCACTAGTGACACTCGCTACCGCGCTGCGCTTCCTGCTGAGTTCTGCGCCAACAACCCCCCCCCCATGTACATCACTCTCTACTACATAGTCACCCGCCTCCCTGACTCCCTTCGCGTAGTCAGGGACCACATCCTCTCAGTCTGTCCCACCACTCTCACTGTTGACCTCCTCGAGAAGGCCCTCTTAGCAGCGGAGAAGAGCATAGTCGCTGTAGGAGCCTCTCGTGGTGACCCGCGCACCCCCATCTTTAAGGGGTGTTCCCCCTCCCCTCTTTTGCCCTCTGTTGCCTCTGCTGCTGCGGCCGACCTCGTTGGGCTTGAGTCGGTCGGTGCGGCGTCTACCCCTAGCGGGAGACGCCGCCCTGGCAAGGGCAAGGGGGGCAGGGGCGCTGGAGGAGCTAGCGGGGGCGGTGGAGGCGGCGGTGGAGGCGGCGGAGGGGGTGGGGGTGGCGGTGGGGGTGGTGGCGGGGGTGGAGGTGTCGGTGGCGGCAGTGGAGGCGGAGGCGGCGGCGGCGGTGGCGGTGGGAGCGGAGGTGGCGGGGGTGGCGGCGGTAGAGGAGGCGGTGGCGGAGGAGGTGGAGCTGGTCGGGGTGGCGCTGCGCAAAGGGTCGGCTCCGGTGGTGGTCTGCGCCAGCAGCAGTAGCAGCGCACTCGTGACATCCCCCCCCCTCAGCAGCTCCGTGAGTGGTACGCTGCATGCCAGCGGGGTGGGGGTACTGGTCCGTGCACCTACGTCCTCCGCACCGGCGACCGCACGGGTGAGCAGTGTGGGGGTGCGCACCCCACCCAGCGCTGCTTTGGCCACCTGACGGACGCTTGGCGTCAACAGTTTCCGGAGGCCACGGAGATCCCCCGCTGGGGTGAGCTGTCTAGGGCGGGCGTAGCTATCTTTGATCTTGACTTTGATGCTATTCTTGCTGCCATGTATGCTGTGTCTATTAGTGATAAGGGTGACTGTTACAGGTGTTTCCCGCCCAACCCGGGCATTGAGACTGCTGCTCTAGGTACTGGTGAGGCTGTTGCTCTAGGTGCTAGCGAGGCTGCTGCTCTAGGTGCTAGTGCGTCTGCTTCCTCAGGTACTGGTGAGTCCGCGCTCTCAGGTACCGAGTCGGCTTCGGCCTCCCTCACCTTCACCCTTGACTCGGGGGTGTCTCGATCCTTCTTTCGAGACCGCACCACACTCACGCTGCTTGGTCGGCCAGTTGCAGTCTCTCTGGCAGACCCCTCTGGGGGTCCTGTCCTTGCTCACTTCTCCACTGTCCTCCCGTGTCCGGCGGCTCCCTCTGGCACCCTGTCTGGTCTTTACCTCCCCTCGTTCTCTACGAACTTGGTGAGTGGCGCTGACCTTCAGGATGGGGGAGTTCACCAGTTCACTCCTGCGAGCTAGCGAGTGACCCACTGCACGGACGCTCGGACGGGCCGACACTTGGCCACGTTTCCTCGTCGGCCGGGGTCGAGCCGTTACACAATGTCCACTACGTCTCCTTCTGTCCCTGCGTCTGGTCAGGTAGCTGCGTCGGCTCAGGTGTTTGGTGCAGCGTCCAGGTCTGGTCCTGAGTCTGCCCCCTGCTCGTGTCGCCTCCTGTCTCACGAGACTCTCCTTTGGCACCAACGCCTTGGTCACCCCTCCCTGCTTCGTCTCCGAGGCATGGCCTCCCGTGTCCTTGTCTCTGGTCTTCCCCGGTCCCTCCCTCCCCTTCCTCCGGGGCCTGGCCGTACCTGCATCCCTTGTGTCGAGGGGCGGCAGCGGGCTGCCCCTCACTCCTCTCAGTTTCCTCCGACGGAGGCCCCGCTGCAGACGCTTCACATGGACGTGTGGGGCCCGGCCCGCGTTCGTGGGCAGGGTCACGAGCGCTACTTCCTGTTGGTGGTTGACGACTACTCGCGTTACACCACAGTCTTCCCCTTGCGCAGCAAGGGTGATGTCACTGAGGTGTTGATCCACTGGATCCGCGCAGCTCGTCTCCAGCTCAGGCAGAGCTTCGGCTCGGACTTTCCTGTTCTGTGTTTGCACTCTGACAGAGGCAGAGAGTTCTCCTCTGGCCTTCTGCAAGCCTACTGTCGTGGACGAGGCATCCGCCAGACCTTCACGCTTCCGGACTCTCCACAGCAAAATGGGATTGCTGAGCGCCGCATTGGCATAGTCATGGACGTCGCTCGTACGTCCATGATGCATGCGGCTGCCCCCCATTTTCTGTGGCCGTTTGCGGTTCGGTACGCGGCGCATCAGATCAACCTTCACCCCAGGGTCTCCATGCAGGAGACCTCCCAATCCTTGCTGTGGACGGGGAAGGTTGGCGATGCGTCTGCGTTCCGTGTCTGGGGATCTCGGGCGTTTGTCCGCGACTTGTCTGCGGACAAGCTGTCCCCTCGTGCTGCTCCCTGCGTCTTCCTGGATTTCCCCCCTAACGCGCCAGGGTGGCAGTTCTACCACCCCACCTCTCGCCGTGTTCTGTCCTCCCAGGACGTCACATTTGACGAGTCGGTCCCCTACTACCGCCTCTTCCCCTACCGCACTCCGTCCCTCCCCCCGCCGCCGCTCTTCCTTGTACAAGGTCCCCCTCCGGTAGACCCCCTCCCCCCTCAGGGTCCGTCCCCTTCAGGTGTGTCCCATGTAGACGCAGTCGAGCCCGTCGAGGTCACTGGTGACTCTGGTGCTGCTGAGGGTGCTGAGCCTGGGGGTGCTGACTATGGGGGTCGTGTGCGTGTGTGTGCTACACCTGGGGGTACTGAGATCGGGGGTGCTACGACTGGGGGTACTGAGACTTGGGGTGCTGAGACAAGGGGTGCTGGGCCTGGGGGTGCTGAGCCTGGGGGTACTACGCCTGGGGGTGCTGAGCCTGGGGGTGCTACGACTGGAGGTACTGAGCCTGAGGGAGTTGGGCCTGCTTGTGAGGCGTCCGGCGGTGCTGGGCCTGGAGGTTCTCCGGGTGCTTCGTCTCAGCGGGAGCCCCTCTCTCCATAGGAGCTGCGCGAGTGGTTTGGCCGACACTGGAGGCGTACTGCTGGAGCTGAGGTTTCTTCGGCTGCTGAGGGTGCTGGTGCTGCCGGTCTCGGAGGTGCTCCTACGGGAAGTACTGGAGCTGCTGGGCCGGCGGGTGCGTCTCGAGCTGGAGCTGCTCCGGGTGTTGGCGCTGAGGCTACTACTGTCGGTCCTGGTGGCAGTGCTGCTGGAGTTACTGGAGCTGGAGGTGCTGCTGGAGCTGGTGCTGCCGCTGCGGGTGCTGGTGCTGTCCCTGCCGTGTCTGGAGTCGCCGCGCGGCCTCGGCCGTACTTCGTTCCGCTCCTTCAGCAGGTTCTTGGTCTCCCGCCTTCTACTGGTCCTCCTCCTCCCTTAGAGTGTCCACAGCCTGTCCAGTCACGGTTACGGTTACAGATGGCCTCCCCGCTGCCTGCTCCTTCTCCCTACACTGGTCCTACTGGAGGTCTTGCTGAGCGTCGTGAGCCTGCGTCTCACCCTACGTCGCTTGTCCGTCCTGCTCACGCTAGTGGTCGTAGTTCCCGTGAGCGTCCTCCTCCTGTCCCTAGCACGCACCGGATGTCTCTGCGTCCGTCCACTGCTCCTCTGCGTGCCCCGTTGCCTTCTCCTCCTGAGTCCTCTCTTCCTGCTCTTGCCGACCATTTGTCGGACTCTCTTCGTGCTGCCAGTCCTACTGTTACGCGTCTCCTTGCTACTATTGTCACTGGCCCTTCTTTTGAGTCCACTGCTGCGTCTGCCCTAGTTGCTAAGCTCGTCGACTTTGTTGCTCACTGTCGTCTAGACTACGCTGCTAGTCTTGTCGCTGAGTCTGAGTGTGTCTGTCCTCCGTCCGTCGGGGGTGAGTGTGCCCTTGGCACGGACGTCCTTGAGGACAGGCAGGAGGAGTTCTAGTGTGTGGCTGCTGCTTCACCTCATCTCGTGTCCGTACTGCTTACCCCTGAGGGAGACCCAGATGCATTTGACATCCCAACTCCGCGCTCTTACGCGGAAGCGATTGAGGGTCCCTACTCCTCTCAGTGGCAGGCAGCTATGGACGCAGAGATGGCTTCCTAGAAGTCCACAGGCACCTACGTTGATGAGGTTCCCCCACCTGGGGCGAACATCGTCAGTGGCATGTGGATTTTCAGGGTGAAGCGGCCGCCGGGTTCCCCGCGTGTCTTCAAGGCACGGTACGTGGCTCGTGGCTTCAGTCAGCGGCAGGGAGTTGACTACTTTCAGACCTTCTCTCCCACCCCGAAGATGACTAATCTTCGGGTGCTGCTGCACATAGCCGCTCAGCGCGACTACGAGCTTCACTCTCTTGACTTCAGCACTGCTTTCTTGCAGGGTAGCCTGCACGAGGAGATCTGGTTGCGCCGCCCACTTGGCTTCACTGGGACTTTTCCTCCTGGCACCTAGTGGAGCCTCCGGCGGCCAGTCTACGGTCTCCGCCAGGCACCGCGTGAGTGGCACGACACACTGAGGACTACGCTTGCGGCTCTTGGGTTTGCTCCCTCTACTGCTGACCCGTCGCTGTTTCTGCGCACCGACACTTCTTTGCCGCCGTTCTACATCCTCGTGTACGTCGACGACTTGGTCTTTGCCACAGCTGACACTGCTGGACTCGCCCACGTGAAGTCCGAGCTGCAGAAGAGACACACGTGCACAGACCTGGGTGAACTGCGCAGCTACCTTGGCTTGCAGATCACCCGGGACAGAGCACAGCGCACCATTACCCTGACTCAGTCACACATGGTGCAGCAGGTCCTTCAGCGCTTCGGCTTCACGTACTCCTCGCCTCAGGCCACTCCTCTGCCTACTCATCACTCGCTCTCAGCTCTGCCTTTGGATGAGTCCGTAGAGTCGAGTGGCCCGTACCCAGAGCTTGTTGGCTGCCTCATGTACCTGATGACCTGCACACGACCTGACCTTGCATACCCTCTTAGCATTCTTGCACGCTATGTTGCTCCTGGGAGACACAGACTGGAGCACATGGCTGCAGCAAAGAGGGTGTTGCGCTACTTGTGCAGTATGTCTAGCTTTCTATATATATATATATGTACTCCTGCATGTGAACTGGCCTTGTGGCCTTGAACTTGTGCTCGGAATGTGTGGTGACTTTGTGATCCACCCTGAGCTTGCTTTGCTTTGCTTCGCTTGACTGGTCTTGTGACCGCTTGTTCTCCCCCACTTTGCCTATGGGGGTGTGTTAGAACATTATTGCTTATGCTTTTGTGTAGGCTGTAGTGGGGTAGCCCATATGGGGTACAGCCCAATTAGGGTTAGTACTTGTACCCAATTGTTTCATAGTTCATTCATTCTTGTTTCAATTATCACACTAGATTGTATCTGTATAGTATAAGGTGGTTTGCATTTGCTTGATTCACTAGTATGAGAATGTGCTTTGCTTCATTTTTTATATATATGTTGAAACAGTGTAACAAAACTGCAACCTCAATGTATTCAGACTTTGCCATCGTGCACGGCAAAGTCCCTACCAAGGTTGTGCCTCGCTGGCGCAATTTCACGAGGCATGGTTGGCATCTACCTTGATGACACGGCAGAAACAATGGTTATTCAAGGCAGCCGAGGCATCTGCGATCCTGTTACCATTTCATATAAATAGGCGTTGTTGTTGGAGAGTTGCAAGCATCTTCTCTTCCCTTCCAATACTGAGCACTTATAGCTCCCATAATCTACTCATGGGCCGTGCTGGTTTCACTGTTCCTGCTAGCATGCATATGGCAGAACCGTTACGTGCTTCGTATCCACGCAAGAGCAAGGACAATCATACCTTCTTCCCTGCCAACAAAGGTAGGTGCTCTCTCTGTCTTTAGCTTTGGAAGGTGTTTTAGGTTGTAACACCATTTTTTTCTCACTACCTTTTTCCCTTATGTTTCAGACGGTGACTCTCTTCACGCTGCCATGAGTGGTGCGCGATCTGGCAAGCGCGGCACCAAACGTCAATGCGAACATGCCACCGGTGCCAAACGTGGGAGCAAGACGTCTGTTCCTTCTCAGGGTGCCGGGTCGGCGCCGACACACTTGCTGACTGCTGCCGTCGCGGGAAAGTCATCATATCACGCCGCTTCAGATCCGACGGCTACCGATCCTGCTCCTGCCTCTGCCGATCCTGCTCCTGCCGCTGCTGCTCCAACTCCTGCCGCTGCCGCTCCATCCGCTACCATGTCAGAATCAAGAAGTGCAGGAAGGCTTAGGAGCCACAGCTATGGTAGCCTAGTAGCTTAGGTTTTAGGGTTCAAGGAGAATGTCGAGAGAGTTGCAAAGGAGAAAAGATGTTTGATAAAGAGAGAAGGTACAAGGATATAGGCAAAGCAAGCAAGGTGCACCACCAAACAATGTAACACTACACTAACTATCGCTACAAGCAGTTTATATAAGAAATATATTTCAACACACCCCCTAAACTGCTTGCAGCATGAAGCCAATGCAGAGTCACCCCCTGAAGGGGTGCACCAAGCGCAGCAGAAGGAGAGGGGAAGTGAGGAGGAGGAGGTGAGGAAAGTAGAACGAGAATGAATTGACTAAGGAATAGGAGTGATACAAATATGCAACCCTAGAAATGTGTACCCCATATAGACTATCCCACTATAGCCTACACAATATTATAATTTGACACACCCCCATAGGCAAAGTGGGGAAGAACAAGGGGTCACAAGACCAGTCAAGCAAAGAAAAGCCAAGCTCAGGGTGGATCACAACGTCACCACACAGTCCGAGCACAAGGTCAAGGCCACAAGGCCAGTTCACATGCAGGAGTGCACATATATATATAAGACTAAACAAGCAAGAGCAGGTATATATATATGTAAGAGAACAAGCAAGATCAAGAGGTGAGCAAGTGAGGCAAGACAGGCACAAGACCCAGCTGAGTGCAGAAGCGCTGATGATCACAAGGCGGAAGTGCCTTGGTGAAAACATCAGCAGTGTTGGCCTCAGAGGCCACGTACGCAAGTCGCAACTGACCACGCTGCTGCAGCTCACGAGCAAGAAAGTAGCGGAGAGCAATGTGCTTTGTTCTGTGCTCCACACGCTGCTCCCGACACAAGGCTAGCATGGCCTTGTTGTCTACGTACAGCACCAGAGGAGAACGAGGCGGCTCTCCGAGGTCAGTCAGCAGGTAGGTAAGCCAGCGAAGCTCCTGTGCAGCCATGGCCCCGGCGTAGATCTCAGCCTCACAATTGGAGCCGAGAACAGAAGACGAGCGAGTAGCCCGCCACGAAACAGAGCCGGAACCAAGGCTGAAGGTGTAACCCTGTGACGACCGCTGCGTAGCCTAGTCGAATGCCCAAGAAGCGTCCGCGTGACCTGTGAGGACCACTGGACTCCGCCCTCCAAGCACTAGCCCCATGCCCGACGTACTGCACAAGTAGCGCAACACCCTCTTCGCTGCAGCCATGTGGTCTGGTCTGTGTCTCCCAGGAGCAACATAGCGTGCGAGAATGCTAAGAGGGTATGCAAGGTCAGGTCGTGTGCAGGTCATCAGGTACATGAGGCAGCCAACAAGCTCTGGGTACGGGCCACTCGACTCTACGGACTCATCCAAAGGCAGAGCTGAGAGCGAGTGGCGAGTAGAGAGAGGAGTGGCCTGAGGCGAGGAGTACGTGAAGCCGAAGCGCTGAAGGACCTGCTGCACCATGTGTGACTGAGTCAGGGTAATGGTGCGGCGTGCTCTGTCCCGGGTGATCTGCAAGCCAAGGTAGCTGCGCAGTTCACCCAGATCAGTGCACGTGTGTCTCTTCTGCAGCTCGGACTTCACGTGGGCGAGTCCAGCAGTATCAGCTGTGGCAAAGACCAAGTCGTCGACGTACACGAGGATGTAGAACGGCGGCAAAGAAGTGTCGGTGCGCAGAAACAGCGACGGGTCAGCAGTAGAGGGAGCAAACCCAAGAGCCGCAAGTGTAGTCCTCAGTGTGTCGTGCCACTCGCGCGGTGCCTGGCCGAGACTGTAGACTGGCCGTCGGAGGCTCCACTGGGTGCCAGGAGGGAAAGTCCCAGTGAAGCCAGGTGGACGGCGCAACCAGATCTCCTCGTGCAGGCTGCCCTGCAGGAAAGCAGTGCTGAAGTCAAGGGAGTGAAGCTCGTAGTCACGCTGAGCGGCTATGTGTAGCAGCACACGAAGAGTGGTCATCTTCGGGGTGGAAGAGAAGGTCTGAAAGTAGTCAACTCCCTGCCGCTGACTGAAGCCACGAGCCACGTACCGCGCCTTGAAGACAGGTGGAGAGCCCGGCGGCCGCTTCACCCTGAAAATCCACATGCCACTGACGATGTTCGCCCCAGGAGGGGGAAGCGCGTCAACATAGGTGCCTGTGGACTTCCAGGAAGCCATCTCTGCATCCATAGCTGCCTGCCACTGAGAGGAGTAGGGACCCTCTACGGCCTCCGCGTAAGAGCGCGGAGTCGGGATGTCTAGTGCATCCGGGTCTCCCTCAGGGGTAAGCAGTACGGACGCGAGATGAGGTGAAGCAGCAGCCAGACACTGAAACTCCTCCTGCCTGTCCTCAAGGACGTCCGTGCCAAGAGCACACTCACCCCCGACGGACGGAGGACAGACAGACGCTGACTCAGCAACAAGACTAGCAGCGTAGTCTAGACGACAGCGAGCAGCAAAGTCGACAAGCTCAGCAACTAAGGCAGACGCAGCAGTGGACTCAAAGGAGGGGTCAGTGACGACAGTAGCAAGGAGACGCGTGACAGTAGGACTGGCAGCACGAAGAGAGTCCGACTCAGGGTCGGTAAGCGCAGGAAGAGAGGACTCAGGAGGAAAGGGCTAAGGGGCACGCAGAGGAGCAGTGGACGGACGCAGAGACATCCGGTGCGTGCCAGGGATAGGAGGAGGACGCTGACGCGAACTGCGACCACTAGTGCGAGCAGAACGAAGAGGCGACGCA